AAAGGTAATTCACAGAAGAGGAATCTAATGGTGAATAAACACATGAAAGATGCTCATCTAGGTAGTCACATATAGAGCATAGATTTTACTGTTTGTAATAGAGACATAACATAATAGTGACATAGATAAGATAGAAATTTATGTCTCCCACAAATACAAGGCTTGGTTTGTTATTCTGTCGTCCAGAGGGTGGTGCCCTTGTCTTTGTGGTCCAAGATGGCTACATTTCCATCTACATTTCAGTTGGTGGAAAGTAGGAAAGGAGGAAGGGAAGGCATGCTGGACACAACCTCAAAGTTGCACACATTATTTTTCACAACCCACATACCTCACCTAGCTGCAGGAAGCCTGGAAAACATATTTAGTCCTTTTTCTTAAGTAGGTCTTTGTCCAGCTGAAAATTGAATTTTCTATCACTATAGAGAAAAGAAAGTTTTGCAGAGCAGTCTAACACATCAGGCAAATAAAAGATTTAAACACTTGTTGAGAACAAGTGTTGGCAGTGATGTGAAACTGAGAGGGTCTTTTCCTTTGCAGTGCTAGGGATCTAACCAAGGACCTGGTATGTGCTAGGCAAATGATCTACCTCGGAACTACATCCCCAGCCCCCAAAGATTATTATATGTCTCTTTCGGAAGACATAGTTCAGAAATCAAAGTGGCAGTATCAAGTAAAGTTGAGAATGTGCATACCCTTTGAGGTAAGAATATGCATATCCTATGAGGAAGCTTTTTTTTTTTTTTTTAAATCAGGTATTGAACCTTGGGGTGCTCAACCACTGAGCCATATCCCCAGCCCTTTTTTTTATTTTGAGGCAGGGTCTTGCTAGTTTGCTGAGGTTCTCACTAAGTTAACGAGGCTGACTTTGAACCTGCAAACCTCCTTGTATATAGTATAAGGAAACTCTTGCTCATGTACACAAATGGACATTTATAAGAATAGTATTTAGTATTGAATTATTGAAATAACTGGAAATTTTTAGTCATGTGGTGAAATTCTATACAGGAGTAAAATGAATGAAGTAGAATTATATGCATCATCAACAGATCTCTCTCTCCACTTCCCTCCTGCCGCAGTCCGGCTGGGCAAAATAACCCGGGAGGTGACAAGCAACTTGAAGGTTGAAGCAGGAACTGCTTTATTGCAGGGAAACTCAGCGGGAACTGAGCAGGAACTCAAGGTAGCGGGCACCCAAGGTAGCAGGAGCCGCTTTATTGCGGTACAGCAGAGGTATATATACCTCACTGATTACACACAGCTTGTCTCAATTAGCATCATCTAGATACAGTAGTCAGCCAATAAGGAATCCTCATCATCTTAATGGCTCAGTGGCGTTGCCTCACAAATTACTCCTCCTAGCAAACTGCCAGGCGCCATCTTGACTTGGTTGCGGCCCTCAACACCCTCCTTTCTTTTTTTTTCCTGGTACTGAAGTTTGAACCAAGGCCCTTGCACATACTAGGGCAAGTGCTCTACCACTGAGCTACATCTCAACCCATGAATGGATAAATTTTACAAATATAATGTTAAGGCACAAAAGCCAGTTGTAGAAAGATGTATAGTATAAATTTTATATAAACTTATATAAAGTTTAAAAACATGCCAAGTGCTTCAATATATTTTTATAGAAAGGTATATACCGTGAAAAGGTATGGGGGGGGCAGCTATGATCAATAGCATTTCTTTTTTCCTGCCCAATTTCTGAACCAATTAAGAAATCAAAGAGTCAGCAGATGAAAACCAAAATATCATCTTAATTATTGATAAAGGGCAGATGGAAGTCTGTGTCTTAATATGAGAATGAGAATTAGAACAGTCTTGCTAACTCTATACTGCTAATCAGAACAGTTTAACTGTGGGAAAGTTTGCAGACCAAACTTGCCCTCTCCTGTCCCCTAGGTTACTGTCTCCCACTAATCCCAGAGAAAGGAAAGGAGAAACTAAATCTCTTATCTTTAGGACATATTATTTGACACATGCACTCAATTCAGAACCCTGAACAAACAGCTGTCACTTATTAGCCAGGAGTGAAACAAGATCCAGGAGTCCTTAAGGAAAATCTCTCCTTATGGAGACTGAAGGAATGGGGAAGAATTCTAACACATGTAAGAGTTTAAAAACATTCATGGGGATGGTCAGAACTGAATTTCAGCATAGTCAGTACATTCTTAAACTCCAGTGTGTATCAGAATCACTTGGAGGGCATGTTCAAAGAGATGGGACCCCCAACTCCAGTTTTTGATTCAGTAGGTCTGGGATGGGGCCCAGGAATTGGCATACCTAAAAAATTCCCAGTTGATGTAGATGCTATTTATTAGAGGACCACATTTTGAGAAACACTGCCTTAAAGTGAGGGAAGGAAAAGAAATGGTATCAAGAAAAGCTAGGCAGAAAGAAACAATATCATCTGCAGTGCTTTATTTCTTAACCTGAGTGTTGGGCATGAGAGTATTATTATTTTCCATATTACTTCTTAATCAAAGTAAAGAAATATTTCCACAGAAAAATGTAATGATGAAGTGTGTAACACTCTGGAAATTACTGCCTCAATACTTGTGAATCAGCTAATAATTCAATTGGGAGGAGTAACATGCTAAATTCAGACTAATTTAAAATAGGAAGGTTAAAGTACATTTTGATAAGCTAAATGATTAATAATATAGAGCAACCATTGTTAAGACTTGTTACAGTTTATTGGAATTCCTAAATTGTACATACTAAGATTAATCATTTTTTTAATATTTATTTTTTAGTTATAGGTGGACACAATGTCTTTATTTTACATTTATGTGGTGCTGAGGATCGAACCCAGTGCCTCACGCATGCTAGGTGAGCACCCTACCTCTGAGCCACAATCCCAGCCCCAGATTAATCATTTTTAATTACAAATATTTTGTCACATTTTCCCAATAAGTTACGCAGTTTAACATCCAAAAACCTGCTCTTAAAACATTTACAGTTTTATTTTATTTTATATATAATTTATATTTCATATGAAATTTAGCAGTTTGAAACCTCAGAACCAGAAAATATGCTTTTCTTTTAATTTTCTGAAAATGCCTCCTTTTTTTTATCTCCAATTTGATCTGGTGAAGAATTTGTATTTCTGACTACTAGTCTTTTTAACACTCCCCTTACCTTAATGATTCAATTATCATATACATAAATATTGTTAAGGTATGTAAATAATTGTTTAAAATATTTTCCTTTAAAAATATTTATTTTTAGTTGTAGTTTGACACAATACTTTTTGAAAATTTTATTTATTTATTTATTTTTAATCTTTTATTGATTTTTTTAAATACACGACAACAGTGGAAAGCATTACCATTCTTATTACACATATAGGACACGATTTTTCATATCTCTGTATATAAAGTATTTCAAGCCAATTCATGCCTTTATACATATACTTTGCTTTTTTTTTTTTGCATTACAATTCTTAATACACACATATACCACAATTTTTATGGTGCTATAGATCGAACCCAGGGCCGTGCAGGTGCTAGGCAATCACTCTACCGCTGAGCCACAACCCCAGCCCCTAAAATATTTTCATTTTAAACATTCTGTGCTGTTGAATTTAAAGGATAATTTTGTCTATCAATTTACTCATTCATAAAGAATTTAACTTTTAGGTGTATTTGTATAAGCAAATGATGGTCATTTGCATGGGAATAAAAAAATCAAGTTCTTTGTAGGCATGTATGGTATTCCAACATTCCAACAGCATTCTATCAACCCCAAGTGGCCACAGGTCAAGTTTTTTGATTAAGTAACAAATATGTGATTCAGTGCTAGAGAGCATCTAGTTAGATATTCATTCTCACTCTTATTCGATAGGAATCTAATAAATACCATCCACCTTTCTAGAAACATGTGTTACAGAAAGTGACAGAAGCTTTAAAATATTTATACCCTATAGCTCAGAAATTCTACTGGTCCAAGCAAATTATCTAAAATGCCAACAGATTTTGGCAAATAGCATCACTTAAAATAAGGGGAAATATCACAATGGATGTGAGATTAGTCAAATTACTTATTGGTTATTGTGCCATGTTATGGATTATTATACCATTATTATTTTATATGGGTTATTATACCATAAAATAATATCTTTAGCAATTCTTTTTTATTAAAGTTATTAAATGAAAAAATTTTAAGATATGATTTAATGTGAAAGTTGCATATGAATACTGTGTATAAATAATGCATATTTGTTGCATTGTATTTGTAGTAAGGTTTCAACTGTATGCATAAAAAGTAACCAAAAAATTATCTTTTGATGATGGAATTATATGTGATTTCATTTTTATTCTTTATACTTTTCTGAATTTAAGAAAATACACAATAAGAACTTTGTTTTGAAAAGAATCTTCTTGCAAAATAAATCTAGTATAATGCAATATTAAAGCTCAGTCCACACATATTTTCTGATTTTTCAGCTTCAGTTTTCAATAAAATGCATCTGATTATCTAAGAGCAATTGAAAATATATTTAAATAGTAACATAGCTTAAAGCTATCTTTTATTCCATTATTCTGAATTTCTGGTTATTTTTATAAAGCAATTTTTTCTCATAGTGATGAATTTCATATTTAATTTACAGCCTTCATTTTTAAATTTTGCTAGCCTCATCCAATTTAAGATTTTATTGGACCTTTTCTTAAATAACCTTTTAAATTTTTTATTGTGCAGGTTGATTGCCTAATGCAGTGTTTCTTAACCATTTTTTTCTTTATCACTTCCCTAAGGAGCCTTTTTAGACATATTTTCCTTAATCACCTGCCACACCATGAAATTTTAATATCTGTTCATGTATTGCATGTATATCCATCCTTTATATGTAAAAAGTAAGTTCCCTTTAAGAACCAGTTTTTGCCCCTTTGGGAGGAATATTGCCCACTTTGAGAATACATAGTCTAATGGAACATGTTATAGGAAAATATTATTTTTACTTTTGCAGTGAATCTCAAAGCCCACATGTTTTGTTTTCATAGCTGCCTGCCTCTCAAACATCACATGGTGACCACTCCGACACTCCTACTGTGGGGAGAGAAAGACGCATTTATGGAGGTTGAGATGGCTGAAGTCACAAAAATTTATGTTAAAAACTATTTCAGATTAACTATTTTGTCAGAAGCCAGTCATTGGCTTCAGCAAGACCAACCTGATATAGTGAACAAACTGATATGGACATTTCTAAAAGAAGAAACAAGAAAAAAAGACTGACTTTATCTTCTATGAGGGATCTGTAATGAAATCTAAATATTTTTTAAAAATTGTTTTCAACTTCATTATGTTTTATTAGGGGAAACCCCTGTTTTAATATGCTTTATCATAAATAAATATTCTGATAAATGGTATTGAAAAAAATTGAGAATGTGTGAACGAGTATTATAATGTTTATTTCCATCCGTCATATTTTGCACAGAAAAGCGTCTGCCTTAAATTGTATATATATGTACAAAAAGGATGTTGGGAAAAATGGCTCAGTTTGAATTCCATGCTTTCTTTACCCTGTTAACATATGGTGCCTTTACAAATATTAAAGTTTAGCTGTGCCATATTAAAAGGCAAATCTGCAATGGTATGAATTTTAATTTTATTGTTCAAAAGTTCTTTTTACTATTTTTTAGTCATTAAAAATTCTATTATCAAATCTTTTGGATTTATAGTAAATCTATGAGTGTGTAGGTAAATAAGATGATTGCATTCTGAAAATTGGCCATAAGTACTACTGATATTCGGAAGAGTAAATCATATTGTAAAACGTACTTCTCAGATTAAAGGTGAGAGATTTTGAAAAGGTATCAAAATGTCCTTTTGCTCCATTCACTGCTACAAGAAATGAGTACTGTGCTTTTTATGTGCTTTAGAATCTGTGCTTGACAGGGCAGGGATTTGTTTTCAACTGATAGATACTCAGAGTCTATAATAAAGGCCTGGTACACTGCAAGCACTCAAATATTTGCTTAATGGATAGACACAATAATTCCCCCTTATCCATGGTGACACATTTTAAGACCCCCTCAGTGAAGGCCTGAAAGTTGGGACAAGAACAATCCCTATAGAATTATGTTTTTTCCCTCTTAATTAAGCCCTTACCATATATTATTCCTATAACTTTTTCAGTTTGAGGTGTGGCTGCAAAATTAGCATTAATTTCTTTTTCATTCTTTCCATTTTCACAGAAGATTCACTCTTATTATAGATCATAGCAAATTCAGCATATTTTTTTTTCTTTCCCTTAAGTCAAGAACTTTCACTTTTCACTTAAAGCAAGCATTTTATGGTTTCTCTTTGGCATATCCAAATTTCCAGCGTCACTAATCTCGCACTATGGGGCCATTACTAAGTAAAATTTAGTGTTATCAAGTAAAAGAAAGTTTACTTGAACACTGCCATTTCAGGACAGCTGACTGATAATCAAGAGGGCTACTAAGTGACTGGTGGGTAGAAGGGTGGTCAGCCTGGATGTGCCACACAAAGGGATGATTCACATCCCTGGTGGGATGAAGTTGAACAGTGCAAGATTTCATGACATATTCACACTGCTACACAACTTAAAATTTATGAATTGTTTCTGAAAATTTTCATTTAATATTTTCAAACTGTGGTTGACCATGGGTAACTGGAACTGCAGAAAAGAAGGAGGGTGTTATATCGGATACAATTCTGGCACTGTGGGGATACTATAAGAGAAAGATGACAAGATAACATGGAACTTTCCTCTAAGATGTTTACACACAATGCAATTAAATTAACTAGAGCTTAAAGAGTAGAAATGAACATTGCAGGTAAGAGTGAGAAGCGTTACAGAATAGAGAACAATATCTACTCGTGGGAGTGCTACTCATTCTCTTGGGTTGTTGTCTTTTGATGCAGGAGACAACTGGTAACATTGCCAAATCATGGCACCTTAAAGACTATACTATGTTCCCAAATAAGCCCTAAATTGGTGAAAGGAATGTTTCCCTCATAAGCATAGTTCTGATAGTGACAGAAAAAGGTAGACTATCCCTAAGAATTCTTATTGTACCATAGCAACTTGTATTAACCATAAAAGCTTTTGTTGTTGTTGTTTCATGCAGAGGATTGAGCCATTAAACCCAGGGCCTCATACATACTAAGCAAATGCTCCACTACTGAGCTATATCCCCAGCCCTTTTTCATTTTTTTTTTAAATTGTGAGACAAGGTCTCTGAATTCCCAGCTGGCTTTAAACTTACAATATTCTTGCTTCAGCCTCTCAAGCAGCTGGGATTACAGATGTGTGCCACCAAACCTGGCTTAAAAACTCAATTCTTCTGCTGCTTCTTCCTCCTCTTCCTTATTTATTTATTTACTTACTCACTTATCTATCTATCTATCTATCTATCTATCTATCTATCTATCTATCTATTTTGGTACAGGGGATTGAACCCAGGGAACCTTAACCACTGAGCCACATTCTAGCCCATTTTATTATTATTGTTTTTTTTTTCTTTTAAATTTGAGTCAGGGTCTTGCTAAATTGCTGACACTGGCTTTGAACCTACATCCTGTCTCAGCCTCCAGAATTTCTGGGATTACAGGCTTGCACCATCACACTCAGCTTCAGTTGTTTATATATTACAATGATACCTGATAAAAACATTGCAAGGTAGGGAGTTGTAATTAGGATAGAGGACATAGCTCAGTGACAAAAAGCTTGCCTAGGATATTCAAAGCCCAGAGTTAATCCCCAGCACTGCTTTAAATTTAAAAAAAAAAGGAAAAATGTTGTAATTGATATTTATTCAAAAATGGAAAAAGTTGTAATTAATATTTATTTCAGTAAATATATATCTTTAATAGGCATATAATTTATACATAAATGTCAGAAATTATTATGTGAAAACAATTGAAGCATATATGTCAAAAGCAGGATATTTGCAAAAATACAAAATGGTTGTCATGAAGCAAGAATATTTTAAGTTTAAAGCCAGGCTGGGCAACTCAGAGACCTTGTCTCACAATTTAAAAAAAATGCACATCATTTTAATTCTCCTGTTACATTTATCATCTTTGATTTTTTCTGATTTTAAAGGTTACACATAATTTCTTCTTAATCCACAGTTTCCTCTAAGAGTTCTGGTTACATGCAAACAGGAAGAACATTTGAATGTGAAGAAGGGGTCCCTGCAAGAACACACTCTCAGATCCAGTTTAATAAGGGGTTTACTAATCCAAATCCCTACTTTACTTAGAAGTCTGTTTGTAGCTTGGAGGTTCATGGACTCTCAGATGGAAGTATGGGAGATGAGTGTTGCCCAGGAAATGAATAGGTCCTCATATCTTTCAGTGGAACGAACCCCGTTTCATGCAGGAGACGTGCATTAGCATGTGGTGCTGGACCTCCATCATCCTCATGGGGACTGTACTGGTGCCAGTGCAAGTGTCCTGTACCACCTTTCTCTTCAACTTCCTCTGGTCAGTGGCTTGGCCATCCTGTTCAACTGGTTCAACCCACCAAGAATTGAAGAAGAAAACTGATTAAACCAGTCCTCAAATTCTTGTTTCTGGTCATGTTCTTTTTCACTGGGTTCATGATTAAAGTAAAAAGGGAAAAGGGACCTGATTTGAGTCTCCCATCTTCATTACAGCCACACTCTACTATCTTTGAAGCAATCACCTTTTTTGTGGCATCCTTACCCTCCATGGTCTCTAAGTTGAAACTCACAGGTTCCAATGTCAGGGAAACTCCTCCTGTCAACATAGCTGGTGCTTGTGACCCAAGAAGACCCCAATCCCAGGAGTAATACCAGAAATGAAATCCTGGAGCAAGTGACAACCAGAAGGAAGATCTTGATTTTCCCCAAAGGAGTGTGTACCGATTACTTTTGTCTAGTCACTTTGGCTGCTGTGGAGGGGGGGCGAGGTACCAGCAATTGAACTCAGGGAGACTTAACCACTGAGCCACATCCACAGCTCTTTTTATTATTTTATTTTGATATAGGGTCTTACTAAGTTGTTCAGGGCCTTGCTAAGTTACAGAGGCTGGCTTTGAACTTGTAATCCTCTTGCCTCAGCCTTCCAAGCCGCTGGGACTATAGGCATGAGCCCCATGCCCCACTTGTCTAGTCCCTTTTAAACTAGGAGCCTTTTCTTCGGGTGTCTCCGGGTAGCTGGTGCTGCTCAGGTACCCAAATACCAGGACACATTAACCTAGACCTGGCCAAGGTTTACAGGCTTCCAGGTCAGTATGTTGACCCTGAGTCAATCCTTCACCAGGGTACAAGCTGAATTTATGCATATTTATATCCCAAATGTGGAAGGGAAAAAAAGTCTCTTGTTTTTGCCAGTACAGTACCTATTATCATGGCAAATGCTTTGGGATATCCTTGACAGACCACACTTGAGAAGACTGCAGACTGATGGTTTCTGCAGGTAAACTTCAACTACCCATGGAAGTTGATTTTTTGGAATTTACAAAAATTATCCAGAAATTGAAAATAAATTGGGATAATACTGATAACCAATTGGATGGATGTACTGCAATTGCAGTTGCCTCAAAAGAAAGGAAGATCAGCAGGGTGTGGAGGCACTTGCCTGTAATCACAGCAATTCAGGAGGCTGAAACAGGAAGATCATAAGTTTGAGGTCATAAGTTTTGAAACTTAGCAAGACCTTATCTCAAAATAAAAAATAAAAAAGGGCTGGGGATATAGCGCAGTGGTAAAGTACCTCTGGGTTCAATGCCCAGTACCAAATTAAAAAAAAAAAAAACAATAGAAGGAAGATCAGAATTGAAGAGTTTTCAAGTTATTTAAAACTCCCAGTTTCAGAGTTCCTGAAACAAATTTTGCTGTCTTTGACTGAAGTAATGATGGCACCACAGACTTCAGAGAATATGTGATAGGTCTATTCTGTACAATCCTGCCAATAATGAAAATATTCTGAAAATATCACATAAGCTTTTTGATCTTGATGAGAATGGTTTCATAACAGAACAGCAATTCATTGTTATACTTCAGGCAGCTTTTAGAGTGCCAGATCATAATGTTTCCAGACTCTTTTAGGAACTAACTGGAAAGAACTCTGCACACAATTTATACAAGACCTTTAGGAAATTTTCCCTGAAGCATCAGCATGTGCCAAGTTATTTAATTCATACCTAGACCTCCAGGAAGTCTATCTATATTCATCTCCATAAGAAGTACAATCTTAATGACTACATTCAAATGTTCCACTCAGCCCTGAAAAATGTGAAAGTACCTTTTAGGTAGAAGATATGATTGAAATCAAAATTATCCTTTGGAAAAAAACTCAATAATTTTTACTCTAAGAAGCATGAACACTTAATTATAATATTTAAAATGTGCCTGAGGAATATTTTGATTGGGTTTTAAATCAGACCTATTTCTCTTCTTTGTTAAAGTAACATTTTCTGGGCCATGTATCTGTAGTCCCAGCTACCCAGAAGACTAAGCTAGCTGAAACAGGAAGATTAT